GTCGAAAGTGTTTTTAACAATCAGGCTCGTCCAATCACAAAACATGATCTACTTTAAACGCCGGTAGGCCTTAACAACTTCCGGTAGGTGGGAAGCGTGTGGCAATAACTCCTTCCATCTGTTCGGCTGCCACCTTCTCGGTAAGTTCAGGGCACAACGAAGCGCTGAACTTACCACAATTGATTGAATGCCCTGCCTCAAATGATAACTCCCCATTCACAATCTGGGCTAAACGGGTTCACTGATGATTCAGGCGATTCTGGAAAATCAGAACTTGCTCGTGGCTATCTTTACTTCTCATCTGGCATAGATCCGGAATGCGCGTCATAATGTGAACTTTCATCCCATTAATCAACGTGCCCTGGGCATAATATCGTTACCACAGTCTGGCGCTTACCAGGCAAGGCTTAAGGCTCTTGTGTGTCCGTGCATGTGTGCATGCGTCTTAATATTGCGACACAAACTATGCCACGCTTACTTCTGACCTGAAAGATTAGGAAAAACCGCAGACTGCGGATTGGAGGTTCGCTAACAAAGTGCGGCAAGCGAAAGACTTTTATTACCGTAAATATAAAACCACATTCAATTCTGTTACAGCCAAAAATTCACGTGTCGCTCATCCTGCTTTTAATTAATTCTGCGAAAGTGACTTGCTATGACCGTTGGTCCCGAATTTGACTGGCATCGATCGACATAGACACTAAGCTACCACCGATACTGAACCGACGGAGGTATACATAAGGCTTCCATCATGTCCAATTTGTAGACCATCAGCACTCCGTCGAAGACAGCCTCCTTCAGTGTCGACCGACTTTAAGTTGTTGTTTGTTTGTTGTTGTTTGAATTACCTGAACAATGGCCAGTGTAGCTCTACATGATGCTTAGCCTCGATCTAAACATTCAATTTCAATAATACTTAGATTGTTCCTCTTTTTTTTATAAGTCAACTAAGATACCTCCCAGAAACTGCTCCATTGCATTTCAGCATACCTATTAAGGCCAAAATTGTCAGGCTTAGTGCACACCATTGGGCAGCAACCTCGTTGGCTGTATTACGGGCACGTGATCGTGCTGGTGATTTCGTCTCTCTCCCCATTTCCACCTGCGGCTCTGGAAGTGAAAATGTTCAAAGACCTTGTGGCTTGGTTGCATCCCTACCAATTTAAAAGGATAAAGCGTTTCCTAGTCCTCTTCTAAGGAGTTATTTAAGCGAACTCCTTGGCAAATGAAATGGTTCGAAGGTGTTGATCAGGCGAAGCTGTTCGTCTACCTTGCATGACAAAAATTGGTCGTTAGAAAAGAAGACTTAGCTTGAATAAAATTGGCAATCATACTACCATTGTTTCAAAGTAGCCCCTGTCTTTTGAATCCCTGTTTGCATGTTTTTGATTTAAATCTAAAGGATAATAAAAGTAGTATCTCGAATACAGGAAGTTGTTTGCATCGCCGTGTGGAAATTTTCGCTCACATTGTCATAGCGAGTAAGTTAGTAATTTTCAAGCCTGAATCATTTAAGTGATGAACCGTTTGAGTTCCCTCACCTTCTATCAGGTCAGTAAATCAAGTACTCCTCGGAAAAATTTATTATCAATCTTACATTTTTTGATGCCCATGTGAACCAACCAATTAAGGGACCAATTGTGAAAAATGCTGTGTCCGAAAACGTTCCTGTCCTCAGCTCCGGGAAACGGAGTATTCAGGTTCTGGAATGCTTGAAACGCATGAATCTTTAGTGGCGAGATATGTGTGGAAACACGCACGACTTATACGACCAGGTAGTGCTGCCGATTCTCACGAAACACGCCGCATCTTCAGCCAACACTTAAATTTCCTCCCTGTGTACGTATAAGTAGAAAGAACGGTAGTGGAATTGCAAATTACGGCACTTGCATTTCGTACTACTCCCCACGAAATGCGGCATTTCAAATTATCATAAGTTTGTGACCTCTCAGACACACGATAAATTATATTAACTAGTCTTAAGTATATCTGGGTCAAATAAATGGCCCTGATTGTGTGACCTGTTGGCGAGACGCCTCTTTGAGGTCATTAAGAAAACCCCTAGGTGGCATTACCTCACTCGAAGCGTTAGGTTTGGCAAATTAGGATCGGTTGCCGCAAGAAGTTCATGTACATCCTTGGTAGTAAGGTGTATACGCGGAAACTTCTTTATTAATTAGCTTGAATTTCTCGCCGAAGTCGATAGATGCACTCCTTCAAAGGCCTCATCAGCTGAACTGATGACAAAACTTACAATCGATTTCGGATGCACAACAGTGTTTAACGGTTTTTCGAACATAATTTTTACTCAAATTGAAGCCCTCACTGATTCCCATCAGTTTTCTACAAAAAATATAATTCATGATTAGATTAATTCTGGTTCCAGAATTTAATAACCCATGTTAGTGGGAAAAATGTCATGCTAATTCTATTTTGCATTAATGCTGTTTCTCAAGTACTGCGTAAATTATTGGGCCGCCTAAGTTAATACCTTCAAAATTACTAAGCCCTTTTAACATTTAACCGAGCTGTGTTTTGGCGGGATCACCCCTTTCGTGGCCTCGAAGCCACGCGAATCAATATTATCGATTAATGGAACGCGTTCTTTGATTTCACAAGGGTTCGATAATCAGGTTTGACCGTGCGTACACTAAAAGTTGACCAAGGTAAAGATAATTGCAAACTGAAACGGTAGAAACCAATTCCATTTTTCTTGAGACCGTGGTTTAATGTGTGATTTTCAGTTTTAGACATTTTTTTCGCTCAGATTCATCGTAGTGCACACAAGATTATTTATGATGGCATACTTTTGCCAGGTAGATGGAGACCGCAAATGAAAAGGCCCTGCTCAGTCTTTAACCCAAATCACTGACACTCACAAAACCGGTTCATCAATTACTGCTTGTGTGGTTTTCGCAACCGACACATCAATCTCCAAATTCGGCTTCACACCTAACAGGACCGTTATGAGACACATCTCGAGAAACGGTGGCCCTCTGCCATCATCGATCCGGTTTGGGGCTTACTTATGCGTGCTCGTTTCAGTCCTGCAGCGCGACGGGTTTTTGAAATACCGAGATATGAATCCGGTATAGGCCATACTCCTACCTAGATAAACCGTCACCTTAGTACCACCTCCATCTGTTAACATCGCGTAAATTTGCTTCATAATAACTCAAATAAAATTTATGAACTCATTTAATAACCAAGAGTTTAGGAATTGGATACCGTGGGGACCTATGACTATTGTCTCTTCTATACCATGTCTGCTGCCTTCTGAATAATTGCATATTTTTTGGTTGGTAACATGAATTGTATTAAGCCAAAAATATCTGTCGTGTGAGACGACAAATACACAAGGTTTCAACAAATCTGGAGTAGCAGACACTTCCACCGCGCTGACCTTAAAAGTAACCTTAGCAGTTAACCCCAGCCCTGATACGACGATGACCCCCAAGGCGCTTACTGTGCGTTCCAATACCTTCTGGGTCATGGCCACGTGTCGTACGAGGTCAGTCTGGCACACAACATAACCAACACGAATCTGCTCAAGTCTTGCGCATGGAGACTGCATTAAAATCTTTCATTTTGTCTCTAGGACGGAACTGATCGTCTAGGTAATGTCCCGAGTGTTAGTGGTGCGATGAGATCAAACCTAGGTTTAAAGGGCTGGGGGTGGGCTACTCGAGTTCTTTTCTGAAACCTGAGTAGGAGATAACTAAGCCATCGAGCAGATAGATTGCCTAGACGAATTCGCCGCTTAGAAATTGCAGTTGTTAACGCCTCGAAACCAGGTACTACACTAAAAATCAATTTATTCGACTTTTACTGTGTAAAAAAGCATTTCGTGCCACTTTAATGTCGAGCACACGACACCAAGCGGATCCTCAAAGGACATTTTTGACAACAGGCAATGAAACCATTATAGCTACCCATTATTTAATACGTACGAAGCAATTACATGGCAATCCTCTGTGGTTATTAATTAGTCAACGCCATCTTCACCAAAGTACAGAAATAACCTCGGCCTCTTAGAATAAAGCAGGCTAAATTACACCCTGAACCTGGCAATTTAGTAATGGAGGCGTCAATTAAGACAACTACAAATAGGCCCACGATTTTAACAATGCAGAGCCACTATCTGCATTCCAAACAAGAGTGTGCATGCTCACATGAAGGTAAACTTGTTAATTGGTAATGAAAAATGGTTTGTAAAAAAGCATTTTAGAGAACCACGATTAGCGCTGATGGCGTTGTGGTGATTTCTAAAAGGCTGTTTGGTTGAGGAATACAGTTCTGTTGGAAAGAACTAGGAAAAAGTATCGTGGCAACGAGTACGTCGGTTCACAAACCGAATGGATCGACGTTAAAACGTAGGTAAAAGGCTGACGTCCGCACAACCACTGCAAAAGTGCAAAGCTAAATCGTCAGGGCGCGCCAATCACCTACGCGCTCAGCGTGTTCACGTGCGCGCATACACGCGTCTGTCTGTGACCTAAGCTATTCAGGACAATCGATGGCTTTTTCGGCCCTGCGATTGGCTAATGTTTGTGCATGATCTCCCGGACAGTGTATGCGCACGTATGCGTAGAAGGTCACCAGACGGACACACCAAGTCTGTTAAATCGCACGACGTCTGCTGTGCGTGCGTACTCTTCCGTGTCTGCTTCTTCTACTATTTGACCAACGACGGTCTAGCCTTCAGATGCAACGTGCGCACGCACATTGGTAGACGCGCGAATATACGTACGCACGCGCACGCACGACACACAAGCTGCACGCGGGCTGTGCGCACATACGCTTTTTGTGGAAGGTGATATTTGCACGCGTGGCGCGCCACTCTGGTCTGATACGGTTATAACGGCATTTCGCAGTTGCAACGTGCTACTACGCCTTGTTTTGACCTCTAATCGGACTCACGCGCTTCTGGAATACTTCGCTCACTCCACATTTCTGACAAAGCTGCCCATGCATGCAAACAGGCTGCTCCTGATCCCACGATGACGCAAGCTGCTTCATTCTCGGACAAAACAAGTCCTATGAACCCTCTTATGCCTCGTAACCTGCGGCGGCAAATAGACGGGGTCACAAACGATGCTCCTATGGCTAACCCATTTACCGCTCTCAGTTTTTTGCCTGACTCAGTGAGACTACCTGCTGAAATTGAAGCCTCTTATCTCAATCTCCTCGTTCTGAATTCACACATTCTCTCCCCTTTTGCGAGACAACTTCTGCTTGGCAATCGTAACGTCCCCAACCTGAATCCCAAAAGGCCCATTGTCCCACCTCCTCAACCAGTCCTCCCCAACTACTCTACTCAGTCAGGAGTCGCTGCCACCGCCTTTCCCCTACCAAAGCCTCACGAAATCGAAGAGACCGGAGAACTCGTCTATAGCATCGTTGAAGGCGAGAAGGTGATGGGTTTCAACGTCTGGGGCGAAGTTCGCCTCTGTCTGCCGCATCTGTTGCGGTTTGTGCTCAATGATGTGGACATAGATGAGATTGGACAGGCTATCTCGAAGTTACGCATCGCCTGCACCAAGTGCTCCCCTCGGCAGTTGGCCACGTTGCACGGGTGTAACGCCCTCCCAAGCGAGGTCACGTCCTGCGGTCTGATTCGAAAGAGCGATGCCGAACGAATGCTCAAGTTCCTTCGATCAGCTCGACAGAGACCCACCTTGGCCGACGCATGCCCTAATGCCGACACAACCGATGGGAAGTCGTTCGTTTCGGAGCGTTCGGAGCCCCGAAGGCAGGAGGGGGAAAGAGAGGCTCTTCTTGGGACATTTATTGATGTGCGGCATGATTGTTTCGGTAGGCAACGGGGTCGTGTTTACCCGAATCTATACACCTCTGCCACATCGCCATGCATTCTATGCCGGACATGTGATAAACTCTTCTCACCCCAGGATTTTGTTGGACATACTCACTCTGTAAATGAGTCAGATAGCTGCTGTCACTGGGGTTTCGATTCGACCAATTGGAGGTCTTATTTACAACTAGACATCGACTCCATTAGCCGACAGAAAAAAATTAAACGCGAAAGTGGCGATGTCGGGGAGGTTGAAAATCCTGATGTTCGCACATATCGGGCTTTGAAGGATTTCAAGGTCAAGTTTCTCAAGGTACGAACGTCTAATTTTTGTTGGTTTTGAAGTTTTATTCACCGCAAAAGGCTTTGTCAAAATTGTTGTCCCAGAGCTGATGTTTTTAAGTTTATTTTACTCTTAATTCTCAGATTGTAGGCCTAAGTTAATGATTGGGTCACTGATGTGAAGACGCTCTTCTTTACCAAAGCAATTTTTTGTTCATTTCAATCTTGTGCAATTTTATATGCGGGTAAAAGATGGCGGGCTTAAATTTGCCCAATCGCTTATGCACAATCTTCCTCCTCTATTTATCCATATTTAATGACATTCGGTAGCCGCGTTGGTGTGTTGAACACGTGAGGACTGCTAGTTGTTGTGGGCGTCTTGATGCCTTAGTAATTTCTTTTTTTTTTGACGTGCCACAAACTCCCTAACTGCCTCTCCCCATCCCTTATTCATTACTTTATATCCACAATGTGGATCTATCCTTTATTATTATTATGCATTCAGTGGCTTCATAGAGGGAATAGCATCCTATTCCTTTTGCAGCCCCTCAAACTACCGAATGAAATTGTAAAGATGCTCTCCAAGCTTGAAGGAAACAGTGGCGATTATAAGTGCAAGTCTTCGAGTGAGCCCCAGCCTCTGGATTGTTCCACAACCAAACCCCCGACCATCCCCCCGTCCACAACTGGACACGACGTCCTCCGAACAGCCACCATGGCGGGTCGACAGACTCCCGACGACGCGCTCCTCGAGGTTCGATTGCGTCCCAACCTCAGAATCCGCCGACTCTGGGCGCCACATCAGGGTCAACTGCGCATTCCCAATCCCCCCAAACTCATCGCCAACTGGTTAGTGGGAGTATTTTGCCTCGCACAGCTGCCACATGCATAGCCTTCAATTTTGACTATTTCTGTTTGAATTTAAATAGTCCACGAGGTCCGAAACCCCGCAACCTGTCTTCGGGTCCGCCCGTCCTTTTGGATCCGAGCTGCATTGTTACCAAAGATTCCGCCCAACTTTACGGTCGTGATTTCATTCCAAACGTCTGCTTGAAACCCGTGGCAACGCCGGCTTCGGCAGCGTCCAGCGGACAGCAGCTCTCCAGAAGCCTCCCCAGTGTCCCCTCCAACGAAGATCTTGTTTCCTCAGCGGCGGAGAAGCGTTTATCCGAAGCTGATCTCTTCTCGGATTTGAAGCCCCCTGGTGGACACTTGAGCCGACTAGTCGTTCGCGGATCGGCCATGCAGTTGTCTACGGACTCCGGTCTCTTCCAGCAGTCGAGTCATGGACTTAATTCAATCGATAGTTCACCCGCAAGAGCCCGCCACTCGAGCTGTGTGCACGACACCACGGCGCTGAATCTTCTAGCCCCCATTAATTTTCACAAGCGTTGTGCCACGGAGGAAGTGCTGAGGTGCCCCTCCGTCGACTCCGCTTCCGTCCCCTTCCGATCACAAATCAACCGCACCACCTCCGACCCTGAGCTCAACTTCTCGACAACCCGGTCGGGCACTAAAAGGGGACGGACGGGTTCCTGGTCTCTGACACCTTCCTCCTCCAGCACTTCTCCCTCTCGCCGAAAGCGTCTGTTGGAGTCGTCAACGGCGGCATCGGCTAGGGAGGACCACGACCATACAGCCAGTAGGTTGATTTTACCTGTTTTTTTTTTCAAACCGAAAAGAAACAACATTTGCAGGCCTAATGAGCATGTGTGCCAACGTATTTGCGTTCCCGTGACCTACCAATGGCTCTAGCTTCATTCTAGTCAGTAAAAGACGAAAGCTCCTTGGCGGTTTTCATTCAAAATCCGTATTTAAATATGCACGGACTAGTGAATATAAATAATCTGTGTCTGTAGCATTTACTAAAAAATGTGTTTTGTTGAGAATATCCGGACAGCTGTTTGAGCCGTGTTCGAGTCCGTCCAACAAACCCCAATCAAGCGAGGAATCCACGACCTCTTGCAACCGCGTCTGTGAGAATGCTTAAGGGGTTCCTTGGCTATTTTCTAGAGGTCAAAGAGGTTGCTGACACATTGATTGCAGCTTCATTAATGCAAACATGTGAGCTTAGTTCTTTGTGGACGTCTTTATCTAGTGTCTGCTGTGTCGAGGATACCTGAAGTAGACTTTTAGTTAGACCAAGGCGTGTAATTCAAGCGTGAGTCAGCAAAAATGCTTGTCGATCGGTCCCTTGCATCATATCAGCTGATTTTCGCCTTTGTTGTTATGCAAATGTGAGTATGAAGTGCCGATGTCTCTTGAAAATATCCAAATTTACATAATACAATGTCTTTGCTTCGCCACGTGTTTCCTTTCGGCCAATTTTGAAGTAAATCGCGGCTTGGTGTATTTGACCACATTCCCAAATATTTGTCGACAATAGTGGCTTCTGTCATCTCTCACAGACTCTAAGTTGAGTTGGCAATTGTGGTGTGATCCTTGTGCTTAAACGTCGTTTCTCCTTGACACTTAATTGTCAATCGACGCAATAGACGATGGGATAAAGTTTTGTCAATTTTGTGCTTCTTTTGTGCCGTCGTAATCAGTTGGATCAATCAACATCGTATTCAGACACTGACATCTTCACACTTAGTGCTGACGAAGCTTGATAAAATTTCCCTTACAAAGTAACCGGTCTGCGTGTGCGTATTCGCAGGGTCGGATGAAACCAAGCGCCATCAAAAGCCACAGGAAGCCCCTCAGCAGTTCTTCTGGTCCCCGCCCGACTCGCTGCCTGGCCAAATCACCCCCGAAATGCTCCTGAACTTGGCGACAGACGCCAATCCCCGCATCCCCAATATCGCCTCCCATTGGGTGAGTATGCTGGAGCGCATCGACCAGTTCTGCACTTCCGTTGCCCCCTCAGACGACTCCGCGAAGCACCACTTTGACGCTGAACGTCAAAAGCTGATGATGGACCTCAATGTTCTTCGGGAGAAGAATTTCGCGGACCTCTCAGTGGTGCTTAAGGACAACAAGAAGCTGTGGAAGGTGAGTTTACTTGGTGGTGCTCTTTTGTCGGCAGATTCGTTCCTTTGCTCCACGCCTGGCTTGATTAGCAACTGTGGCATGGGCATGTGTTCTTATCGTTGCCATCAGCAAGATCACGAAAGCAGGAGGAACTGACTTGAACTTCCAACTCATTCCAGCTGCTCAAAGCGCCCTCTTTTGATGCCTTTTGAGATCGATCGGGCACAGACTGATGCTACGAGCTTTCATGCAATCCCTGTGCTTCGTCTCACATCCATAGTGTTGTTTTGCAACAAAGAAAGTGCTCGTTCTCGTTTTGTGTATGTGCGTGTTGGATCCATGGAGCCTGTGAATCGATGCTGCTGGGCCTTCTTTGCATAAGTCTACGCTATTTACTTAATCTACAAGTTAGTTAGGCTAATGTTCTCGCCGAAAGTTTCGCTTTGTTATTCAAGGGCTTTTAAAAGTGCACACCTGACGTCACATCTTTAATTCACATCGAAGCTCTTGACAAAAGGTGCACTTTCATAGCGTGAAACAACTCGGTACGTTGGAATAACTGGCGAATCGAATCTTAAATGAAACTGGAGAACAAACATATGGTTGGATTTCCGCATGAAGCACTAGTTCCTGTTGTGAATCCGCCTGGGCTTAATTTTGCCTCGAATGTGTGACTAGTTAGTGTGAATTATGAACGACCTCGTCATAGAAACCACTAAGACCCCGCTGAATTTCCGTCCTGGAAAGCGACGTGGACTCCATCCACCTCAGGTGCAGGTAACTTTGCGCCCAAGATTGTTAGCTCCGCGCACTCACCTATTAGGAGCGCGACACCAACTCTGGCGGCAGCGAGCCTATGAGGACAAAGCACATACATGATTCACCATGCGCGTGTGCGCCGCACCAGCGTGTGCTGTTTGTGCGCAGTCCCCGCATGGTGTCCAATGCTCGGGGCTCGTAACTGCGTTGCATCCTACTGTGTGCGCTCCAGTGCGGCCGCGCCAGCTACGCCGCCGCCGGCTGCGCACACACGCACGCACGCCGCGTCGTGCCGCCGAGTTGAACGTCACTCATGCGTGCGTACAATCGCGCAACTGGAAAAAATCGATACTCATAGTCTGCGCCGCTGCTTCTTCCATCGCGTAAGTGCATGCGCGCAATTAGAAAATCGATGTTGGTCATTCGGGAGCTTAATTTGCTCTCGTAAATGAGCGCAAAATACAACAAATGAGAAAATAATATGCAGTCAACGGGCAGACACACTGCATCTAAATTCTACACCTGTGCGCGTGCTGCTCGGAACTATGTTCACATCTAGTGATGCCTAGGTAGTTCGTGTAGCACGCTCACGACCTCGATGCTGGACGCTAAACCTCGTTCTCGGTCAGTCTTGCGAACGCTGTACGCAGGGTCGAGATATCGGACAATGGGAACGTTAAATGGGTCACCTGTGCTTGCACGTATGTGTGTGTGTGTGTGCGTATTCACATGTATCTGTCCGTGTTTCCCTCCGAGTTGGCGATTTCGGTTGTGGATATTGCCTGAAAAATATGTTTATCTTGTCTTTTGTCCTAGTTACTAACGAACGCTCTCCTGCTGACCGGCACCTCCCCGCCCCTCACCCCAAATACCCTCGCTCCCCCCTTCGGCGTGATTCCCGGAGTGACGGATGTCGATCAAATAACCCGGATGATTAATCTTTTCAATGGACTAAAGTCGAAGTTCTCTTTGCCTGAAGTAAGAAAACAGTGTGACGTTTTCATTAAGTAAATCTACTAAAATCAGTAATTCTAACCTCGGCAAACACCAAATATGTCGCTCGTGTGTCTTCACAACTTCCGTGGGGAATTCAACATCTTAGCGATCACACAGCTGCGTAAATTCCGTGTTTCAACGTGTGACTACATGGAGGGTTTGTTTTATCAAGCGTTTTGCCGATATTTCCATCATCTGACAATCAGGACAGCACTTGCTACAACTGCGGGGGTCTGCAGTAATTAAATATAGACCTGGTAGGAGGTAACAGTGGTTAGGTGCGGCGATCTGTAGGCGGATTTACAAAAAAAATCACTGAAACATTAACCTTGGTAGTCTGGTTTACGTCTCTCATTTTCAACAGGTCGTGGAGGTGGAGTTTTCTTTGAGGGTGCTATTTTTTTACACTACCTGTCGGTGGAGCAAGTTTTTTTTCTAATTAGTAATTGAGTACTTAGTGATGCGATTCACCCCCAGTAACTTGTGGATGACTTGTTTTTTTAAATTTCGTCATTATGTTTCATAAATGTCTACTGAGATGCGAACGAAAGGCATTGGCTATTCTTACCATTTCGATTTACCTTAGAGTCGGTAATTCTGCAACTGGTTAAAGTAGTTGTAGGCGGTATTGGTTGTCACCCATTCCCGACGGCTTCACTTTGATTGGCCACGCCAAGCCCCTGGATTTACACCGTGCTCAAGTTCGTGCGCCTCCTCAGCCGACTCCCTTAGGTAGTTGCCATCCAAGAAAAACCCAACACACCTTTGTCATGTGCCGTGTCAGGGTGAACAGGGGTTTTGTGTCTCGATTGACGACCACGATGCTGAGTCAATGTCCGCGTCACCGTGAGTAGCACATAATGTGTTTTTTTCTGTCACCGTAACGACTGTTGGAGAAACCTTGGTAACCACGTTTTCTTGGTGCTGGACCACATCAGTCCTAAAATGCCTTTTTACGGGGACACGGTGTGCACATCGTCACGCCTGTTCATCCCCTCAGAGCTTGTGGCAAGGGTAATGGTTATCTTTTCGCCATAATATAATGTCTTCCGTCGCATTCTTGTAATTCCTTTCTCTGGTCAAGTTAACTGTCTTGGGTGGTTTTTTAACGTTGACTTACACTGCCACAAGTTGTTTTTTTTGACGACTCAAAACAATCACTGATTGAGTTCATGTTGCTACTTTTACTGCGCTTAAAATAGCCACGTTTAGTGTGGACTGCTGTCTTAAACCACTCAAAAGTTATGTTTTATTTAAGCAAAACTTGGCCACATGTTGGTAATTGCTTACTTATTAATAGAACTCTCATTTATGTACAGTAACTTAGTTAAAAATCGACTGGGTTTTTTTGGTAGGGCATAATGGAATGTGGGAGTTTGATGCGTTTAATGAGGACTTTGGGAAGCTGAGGCCAACCTGGTATACACCCAGACCTGTGAAGGGACACTGATTGCCGCTTCCGTAATCCAGACTATTGAGAGTCGGTTTAAAGCACCTCTCACCAACAAGCTCTTGCGGCTAAGCTGTGTTTGCTGTGCTGTGCTTGAAATCCTTTTTTTTCTGAATTTTTTCACATTTTTGTAAATTGCCACACGCACGCACGCGCGCGTGCGCGCGCGTGCACACGCCCACTTCTATGGAATGGATCCAGGTAGCCAAATTATCGATCGGCTCATTCATTCATTCACGCATTCGCTTTTGTGCATGGCGCGCGCTTTCGCACGAGATTCGGTGTCAGTGACACACGCGCGTGCACGCACGCACGCACCCAAGCAGGCACATGTCACTCTTGTGTCGGTGACGCTGTGATTGGGATCTGTACGTCAATCTACTCCAGAGATAGCAAAAAACCGTAGTCGACGGCATCTCCGTGATGGTTTTAAGCGAGGTCCAGGCCTAGGGTGTGAGAAACGATCCCCAGATGGTTGAACTGTCGCTTCGGGAGAGGGGTGCTTGCGAGGCCTCGTGTAATTGACGCGACAGCAGAAATCTGTGCGTTAATTGACCCAGGTGTTCGATATTTGGGTATTGTTTTCTTGGAATGTTGATTATTCACTTACGGAATGATCCTTCCACGTAAAGATTTGCAAAGTTCGGCCTCGACGCAATTCAAAAACTTGTTCACTAAAGCCTGAAGATTGTTGAATTCGTAGGCTAAAGCAGCCAATCCACCTCGATAATAAAAAATTGGGCATTTAGACATTTTGTTTGTTAAATTGACCAATTCCGGTCGGAAGTAGTGGAAAATGATCAAGTATGTCTTTGCAATGGGTTTTTGGTGAGCGCTAATTTAGTTGGCGCCAGGAATAGTTCATCCGTAACTGTCGAACTGCCAGTCATTGTTGGCGCGAAAGTGATCAACCAAACTGACTACGTGATTGAACGATTCGGATTATTGACGAGGTAGCATTTACGTAGCGTTGGGTCGAGTCTCGCTATTGTTTTTTCAATATCGAAAATCGCCAAACACAATAGACTGCATCACCTTAAAACTGCAAACAAGCACCTTACTGGTTGGAGACCTCGTAACCCATCTGTTGACTTCCTCATCCGTGGACAGGATGCTCGGGTTCAATGTCTGGAAGTTTTTTTTCTGATGGCGAATCTGTCGAGCACTTGGGTGTGTGCTTTGATTTGATGGTGTCCGAATCTTGCCCAGAGCATCGACACAATAACTAGAAATGGACTTGATAAACTCACTAACCCATCTTCCGTCTTGTTGTAGAACTTCCGACAATCTGCTCCAATGGAGAACGTGGAGTTGCAGTCAAACGACAGGACGCGCCTGCTTTGGCCCACGCCCAGCGCGAGCTACCGGTCGGCGACCCCAGAAATGCTGCCCACCGCGCGCACGGCCGCCTCCACGGCAACCACAAACGGCTCGGACAGTCCTCCGACAAGCAATGACTTTATGCCACCCTCCAAGCGCCAACGGCTATTTCGACATTCCTATTTAGCCAGTAGTAACTTTAATGCGTGAGAATTTCTGCTCTCGGCTAGCTGGCCCCCCCTTCCCCCGTCCGAGACTTCTAGTCTATTTTATCTACTCCAGAACTGCTGTCAGAGGAAGTTTGACGTGTGTGTGACCGCACGGCGTCGCTTTCTCTGCGGCTGATCTATCGTTTTGCATGACCCTGTCCAATCCACAACCAGAATTGACGGACAGAGCTTTTCGGCGATTTCAACGCCCCGCTCTCCCTCGCGCCGGTCTCAAACCCTACCCCAGACCCCAATTCGGAGAAGAATACCACCAAACACCCCGTAATGATACTGTCATGCGCCCACTGCCTTTGCGCCCATCATCACATCCAGATTTTCCTCTTTAAGTGGTGGTATGATCACCTGTATCACGTCATAATCACTGTAAAACTATTATTCCATCCCACTTCCATCTTTCGCATTGAGCTTACGTTCTCTTAATAAAATCTCTAACTGAAAACACGGAAATCGCCATCCTTATGCATATACATATACACACGTACGCAAAAAGTTAGATGTGTATACATGAGAATATGAGAACGCGGATTTTCGGTTTTGGTTTGGTCGGAGGGCGGTTGTCAAGCCCACTTTTGGGCTGTCCTGCGGGGGTTGTCGGAGCGGGCTAGTTGCCTGTTTACGTCAGCGCGGTGCCCCACTGGCTTGTCTGCACGCAATAAAAACAAATTAGCGAGTCGAGTTGGCATTCGCGTGTCAAATCAGCACTTGGCGAGGCCTAGAAATCTGCCGCCGAGTGAATGTCTTCGTGTTTACCACAAATACCTCAAGGTAACTGCGTGGGAGTCTGGGAGGTTCAGAGGCCATTTCGTCTCCCGATTCGCAGCAAAGTGACATCGAAGTCAGGATCAGTCGGTAAAGTCCGTTTTATCCCATCAAGGAAGTGTCCGCGGTCTGCAAAATCAGCGGTCAAAATACTTCAAAGTGCAATCGATAATAAAGCCGAAAATCCGATACAACGAGAGATTTAGCATTACTATGATCTCATAATTGCTAGCCTTAAAGACAAAGTGAATTGTTCCCTTCTAAGTGTTTGATTGAATGCAAGTGGTTGGGTTGGCGCACTGGTCCCATAAACCCGATTTAATTAAATTTAGGGAAGGGGAATTCGGAACGCTTTACCTCCCCTAGAGCACATTGTCCTGAACTGGCCATGGGGACAGACTTTGTCTAGTGTTTTGCTTTGGGCTTTAAGTTCTAAATAGGAGTTTGACCTGCTAGCCTGTGTCAGCTACATACACTTTGTGCACATGGCTTCTATGTGGATCTCTGTAGATAGAGGCAGGCATACTGTGTCTTATAAACTCGCTTTGGCGGACGAAAATGCCTAATGTAAAAAAGCCAGTGTACTGAAGTGGATTTGATCTGATCAATTTAGGTTCTGCAAGTTTCACATGAAAACAGTCGGATTTGAATATAATCTGGGTTGTTAGGACTAGAGTTCGGTTAGCAACAACAGCCACGGCATCGTGTGCTACCAGCCCTCCTTCGGGAGTCGAACTGACCACCTCTTAGATCAATCAAAAAGCAACCGATAAAAAATGTCTTCTTTCACCTGAGGGCGTGTGGCTACATTTCAGATGTGAAAACATAAAAATGGTAGGTGCGTTATGTGAAAATAAGGGACAAACTTGGCACAAAACTCTCACAATTAAAACTCCGACCCCGCATACTCCATTGTTTCAGCCCAGGGGTATCTCCTTTTCAGAATGCTCCAAAAAGTTTAAATTAAATTACACTTGTTTGTAGCGAATTGGAATACTGCAACAGCGCAACGTTCTCACGACTTTCAACCAGCGTTAGGATCCCTAGAGTGGAATAATATATCTAAAGAAAGTGCCATCTTGCATTTATGGTCACCAGTGCTGCAGAATGCCCCAGAACAGCCAATTAATCTGGGTTTTTAAAGTACCGAAATCCCTGGTTTTTTTCAAACTGCCCTCCTAAATGTCGACATTGGAGAGAATCGGACGCGAAATTCCTCAGGTCAGTTCAGGTTTGATTCTGCCCACAGATGGCAACGCGGTGGATTCCGTCAATTGGGTGGCGCCACCTTCGGGATTGATGAATGATCTCAGGGGCGGAACCATTTGCCGCATCCTCCGTGGGACTTGAAATAAGGCGAAATGCTTTTTTTTCGCAATCCGCAGGCACCAGCCAGTCTTTTAACTAAAGGTTGCCAGCTTTGCATTTGCTTGCGCGTCTTCGAGTCAGAAGCGTTGCTTATCAGCCATGTGATTGCAAAACCAGAGCTCACTGCAGTTCACCTCAACCCGAAGACACTCAGGCCGTGACCTGACAGCGCACAGAGGTACAGATTAGGGTTCACGGAGTCAGACTAAACACACGCACACACACACGCGCACATGAACTCGCCGGTGGACCGGCAGATTCACGCAGATTAGTTGTGTACATTCACCTGCAAAGGCGCATAACTCAATAAGGCGGTTGTGAGACACCTTCAAAAGTTCACCGATGCGTAATTTGGTTATTGCATGTAGGATGCGACGACACTGCATGGTCCTTCGTTGGCGTTTTGGCAAAGTTGATCTCTGCTTTGAGCTGAAATAAACATCCGAAGCAACATATGTAAAGCCATGCACTGAGAGTAGGAATGTGAGCTGTAAAATCCTGGCCGCTTGAAAGAACAACAAACATAATCGTTATGATATTAATGCTGTATTAGAGGGACGGTCGATGTGGTGGAATATTTGAACCCTTAGATACTTTAACTAAAACGTGGAAGTTTATTGTTCGAAAAGACTGAGAGCCGATTGTTGGCAAACACCGTTAAATAAGGTGAGTCCTTCTGCTTAAAAGTTAATGTAAAATCCAGTAAAAATGGGCTAAGGGAGCTTATTAGTTTGAGTTACTTCAAAATGCAATAAAATTAACACTTATACCTTCAAGTCAGATTTCTTCTTGTTTCAGTCATGCAGGATAATCCCACCCAATTATAGAATGGTAATAAGGGAGTAGAATATTAATGGACAGAAAAGGCGATTAGGTGACTCGTTAAGCCTTGAGGCCACCACCACTAATGTCGCTGCTTCATTCAAGTTCAGAGGTCAAACTCTGCTCATGGACTCTATACCAATGAAGATGCAGGGTTCTGCAAAATCGGTAAAATGATACTTGCGGTTCTGCTCTGCATGACGTAGATTTTATTATGAAGGATTTTGAGCACTTTTACACGCTTTTAGAACGCAAAATGGTCCATTTTGTTCAACGGGAAAGCCCAACTGTCATAACATTCACCTTTTTGTTGGTAAATTATTTTTAAGAATTCAAGTGTGGAGGGGAGCCTCGGATACTTCAGTTCAAAATAAACAAACCAAGTTGAAGAGAAAATCGTGGTCCTCGGTGTTGGATTTACCCCCACGGTGCGGAGCTAGTGTGCGACCTGGTTTGAGGACACCCCTGGCAAAGATGGACCTCGTTGTGGACTAAGCTCGAGTCAATCACACGCGTGCCTGCAGCTGCTGTGCACGAGAGGCGATAGGCCGGTAGACGCATCTCTAGGAGCTGGGGCAAGGAATTTATTTTGACGCTCTGCTGAAGTTTATTTTGACTGCACATGGGTGTTACCAGTCACATGAACACGAAAGACACTACATTTTCAGGGTAAACAAAATGAAGAGAAAGCCAACGCGCAGTGCATAAGGAAAAACGGCATTTTAGAGCGCACATAGTGAAGCCATCTCGCTGAAACCATGCGAACCCGTTTGTTCAAATTTTTATTGTAGCACAGTGCTTGGACAAGGTTTTCTCAAAATCATAAAATACTTTTAGGAACTAATTAATAAACCATCAGGCAACTCTCGGTGAAAGTTGCTACAGGAGAGGTAATCGGGTTTGGGTGACGAAGCCATGCTCAATTCCTGTCGTCCATTCCCCCAGGCACCAGACCACACAATCCAGATATGTGATCGGTGGAGAATCTACAAGGTACAACGCAAGTGAAACCAAATAATCCTGTCGATTACTTCTGGATCAGCTGATTTTAGCGGACGGTTTAAGTAGTCTGTGTATTCTCATGCAGTGCGCTTTTTAAGCAGCCTTTTAGAAACAGAGTCATAGAGCAGCTAATCGGAATGTAGTAAACAATTCATACTTAAAAATCATTCACAGAGATGCCTTCGTCTTCACACACTCATCAACTGGTGTCTTCGTTTACACAATGCCTGCGTTCAAAATGGTCAGCCAACTACTTCGGCCAGTGTAGAGCAAGACTTTGGGATAACTCAAGTGATTGGCGGTTAAGTATGTGACCTCGCCGAACAACTTCTCTACGAATGTGTCTTGTATGAGGGCGGCTGAATAGCAAAAGCACCTAAGCCCCTCTCTTCACCGACTCCCAGAACACCACCAAATTTTCCTCAACAGAGTATTCTTGAAGTGTCTGGCTTGTTAGGGGTAAAAGAAACCTCTCATTAGTTTTAGATATTGCAGAGAGGATATGTCGAGCTAGAAGCAATAACTTAAAAGCACTTGTCTCCTTGACCTACAGGAAATTCAGGTAAAGTGTACAGTGTGTTTAGAAAACGGATGTTTTCTCATGTCAGAAATGGACAAATTACGGCGGTAAATTTTTTGATCAAATCAAATTTAAATTGGGCTGGTGTGATTCCCTTGTAATGCTACCTTAATTGCTATTAATATTCAGACACGTCCTTTAAGCGATGGGTGGGTTTGGTCGTGCGCAGCTGACTTGGCCCGATGCGACCGTGGAGTGGGGTGTCGTGGTGACTGTCATCGCAGTCACGCAGGCACACAAACCCGCGACTAGCGACTCATCCTCCAACCGTGTCCACAATTCAGTTTGTTGGTGAGAGCGCGCGATTCTCGAAGGTCCGTTGCTTGGGCGCCGAGATAGGTGGAGGGGGATGAATCATAACCGGAGTAGCCTAATCTGCTTACGTCGACATGAATGCCTGTCGAAACCTCAAATCTGGCAAACATGATCCACATTAAAGTGGGTCGTGC